AGCTCAAACAAAATTGGGTGAATACACCTCATATTACTGATTTACTGGTAGTCTCGAAAACAATATTTAATTCGAAAAATACAAGTAAATCAGTCGTATGGGAGGTATTCACATTATTTCGTGTAACGTTATGAAGTACTGGTAGAAAAAGAAATTTCCCACAATGATATGAGTTTAACTGACGTTTCCATTCAATTTCACATATACTTGCTTTCCCAAAAGATGTTATCATCCAACTTTTGTTCAACTTTTGGGAAAGCAAGGCCATGTGAAATTGAATGGAAACGTCAGCTTAATTCATATCATTGTGGGAAAATTCTTCTTCTAGCAGTCCTTGATCACCTCAAACGAAATTTGGTTAATACATCTCATATTACTGATTTACTGTTAGTCATGAAAACAATAATTAATGTGAAAAATAAATATTTATAGCATATGTGATAGAGCCAGATTCTTTTCCTGCCTTAGTGGTAACTTAAAGCTTATGCAAGAATGAGTTCTATTTTCTACAATAAATACCAAATAAGGGACGAAAGCTCAGTCTATTTTTTCCCGAAATGAGCGAGGATGTCCCGTAGGCTGCTTCACTTTGAATGTCATATTAAAATGAGATGTATTCACCCTATTTCATTAAGGTTGATTCAGAACTGGTAGTAGAAGTTTCCCCCAATGAGATGAGTAGAGCTGACGTTTCAATTGAACTTCACAGAGCCTTGCTTTCCCAACAGTTGCTCTCCTCCCGGCCGAAGTCAACTACAGTTTCGACCTCGCTCAGGGAGTCGAACCGTGACAGTCTCGAAACTCTACTCAAATGCCATATTAAAGCCAAAACGGTTGTAAAACAACGGGAAACAACCGTCATCCTTTGGTGAGATCGACTTTGAATCTATTTCTTATACACTTACATACTAAATGAAAGCCTCCACAATTATGTCATCTCAAGCGATTCTTCGAAATTCCCTTTCTTTTTGTAGATACAAATGAACGAGATAAACAATACAATCAACATGGCGTCTTCGAACTGTCAAGGCAAAAGTCCATGTCCAACTCACCCAATGCTCCGTTTGCATGAGGACATTTCGCGCGGCCAGATCGCGATGTATGATGCCTCGGCTCGCCAAATAGGCCATACCACTTGCGATCTGCTGGCACCAAGTCATCATGACACCCGGCTTTGGCATCGGCCTTCGAGAGTTGGTCACGAGAAAGCCGGGCCGAGTGAAGCGTTCACTCGATCTGGAGCTTGATGAAGAACTGGGCAGAAGTGAGCCGATTCCCATGCTGTCTGGGAGGGTATGTTTTCCCGTCAAGGTGTCAGAAAGGACCTGTAAAACTTGGCCGTTGTGATCAAGTGATCTTTCGCCGCCGTTATCATCGATGGGGCCGTCTTCACGCACTCGTTTGGCTGAAGTGAGGTTGCATTCACTGGATCTTACCTCGACACCGCTGCCAGCGTTGGAAGACAACTTGTTGCTATTGACAAAGAGTGAAGGTGTGAAACAATTGGAAGAGGGGGCGGAGGTGGGAAGGTGGAGTGCTGCGTCGGTGACCGCCAAGCAGCCCAAGCGGATGTGGTGGAGATGGTCGAGGAGGCAGCCCATCGGGAGAAACTGTGTGATCAGCTGGGGTCGGGCAGTCATACAGAAAGCGAGGAAGCGCACGCAGCATGGATGATCTACGCTGGCCATAACCTGTTGTTTTTTTAGGGTTGAGGGCAAGGATGCAGTAGAAAGATTGGAACAACAAAGTTAGAATGCAATCTGTGTTTAGAATATATGAAATATAGTACTCTGCAGTGTGATTATCGAAGGGTTGACCGAGCCGTCAACTTGCGTCAAGAAGCTATTTGTGTAAGCATAATAAAATTCGAGGAGGATAACATCTCTGAATGAACCCTAACGCGGAGCAGATACAACGACAAAAAAGGTCAGGCCTTAGGTTTGGTCACAGTCATTTTCAGCTGTAAATGTGATTCGAGTTTGTTTTTGGAAATTGGTAGAAGGAAAAGGGAGATACTTCGTGCAACCTACCCAGTACTGAGACATCTACCATAATAGTCATAACAATTATGAAGGAAAGATGGGTTATGAAGACTCCATAACTAAACGTTTATTTTAAAGAAAAGTAATTTTCGAAGTAAGTATTGTTTTCGTGACTACCATTAAATCAGTAATATGAGATATATTCACCCAATTTCGTTTAAGGTGATCAAAGACTGTTAGAAGAAGAATTTTCCCACAATGATATGAGTTGAGCTGACGTTTCCATTGAATTTAATATAGCCTTGCTTTTTCAAAAGTTGTTCTTATCCCAGCTGAAGTCTACTGCAGTTTCGACCTCGCAGCGTTCTTATCAACACCCTCAGCGGGAGTCGAACCGCGACTGTGTAGGATGAGAGCTTGATACGCTAACCACTAGGCTTTACTGCCACGAGCACCTTTTGGCTGACAGAGCAAAGTGAATTTTCA